AATAAGCTGAATATGAGCCAACAGTGTGCCCTTGTTGTGAAGAAGGCTAACAGTATACTGGGCTGCATTAGTAGGAATGTTGTCAGCAGATTGAGGGAAGTGATTTTTCCCCTCTGTTCAGCTCTGGTATGGTCACATCTGGAATAGTGTGTCCAATTTGGGCCCCCCCCAGTACAGAAATGATGTGGACAAATTGGAGAGAGTCCAGTGGAGGGCAGCTAAATGGTTGGAGGGTTGGCATACATGACTTATGAGGTGAGGTTTTGGGAACTGGACTTATTTAGTTTGGAGAAGAGAAGACTGAGGAGGGATTTAATAGCAGCCTTGAACTACCTGAAGGGTGGTTTCAAAGAGGATGGAGCTAGACTGTTCTCAGTGGTGGCAGGTGACCACCACTGGAGCAATGGTCTCAAGTTACATCAAGGGAAGTTGAGGTTAGATATAAGGAAAAGCTTCCTTGTGAGGAGGGTAGTGAAGCACTGGAACGGGTTACCTAGAGAGGTTGTAGAATCCCCATCCTTGTAGGTTTTTAAGACCCATCTAGACAAAGCCTTGGCTGGGATGATACAGTTGGGGGATGGTACTTCTTTGAGCAGGGGGTTGGACTAGATGACCTCTTGAGGTCCCTTCTAACCTTAATTTTATATGATTTTTATGATTAAAGTGCAGTGAGCGCCATCTTTCCTGGCAGGCATGCCGCAAACCTAGCCCTGCACACTTCTTGAGTGTCACTATAGTCCCTTTCTCCTGCCTGGTCTGCTAAAGCTCTCCTGGCTTCCTCTGTAAACTGCCATGAGCACTACATAGAGCTGCCCATACCACTTACAGCACGTGTCATGGGTTGACCAGCCCGTGTTATAGTACATCTTCCTAGGTATCAGAAAGATGTACCAAATGTAGTGTAAAGGCTCTGTCTAGTTATAAATGTACATGTTTTGGTGGTTACAGTGACTGATAAGAGTGCATTTTTGTTTAGAAAATAATGGAAGTATAAATGGAAAATGTTTGATTGAAATCCATAATTTCAATGGAGACCTCATGCATAGTGAAAAATCTCTATTCAAATTGTTGATTTAAGTTGAGCTGATCTGAGCAATCCACCCAAGTCAGGAAACACTTTTCCTTACTCTGATTTTTAGCTCTCTTAGAGCTAAAAAATATTTGATGAGAGGTTAATGAGTGTCGGGTGTAATCAAACCAGTGCTACCGAGGCAACTACCACTGGTCATGCAGGCATGATCCACTGACCTGCAGTCTCTGAGTATGCTGAGGCCAATGACATTTTCCAAAACCCACAAGCCTTCTCTAAGGCTTTTTAGGGTCAGATGGATGATGTATTGAAGTGAATATATTTCATACTCAGTATCTTACTTCACAGTGTGCAGTCACAGATTAAGTGCCAAGTCCTACTTTCCTTCCTCAGTTAAAAAGCTATCTGAGGGTGGTGGGAATGTTGATGAAGGACAACAAGATTTGGCTTAGTTTAGAAAATCATGAACAGTGAATTCAGTATTGAGGAAGAGAAGGGTCTCCTCCTTTTTTGTAAGTAAAGCCAGTGAATGTATCTAGTGACCCACCCCTATATACTAGATATGAGAAAAATAGAACCTAGAAACATATCTGGAGCATCTCCTCAAAAACGACTCCCCTACCACCATATTTGGCAATCGCCAAATCAGGAAAGTGTTGCACTTCTTCATTGGGCTAGCTAACGGGGGATATTCGGGAGTTCATAGAATCACATCTGCGCTCAATACTTGTTTGTTTGCTTTTTGAAGGATTTCCAGCTCTGCTGAAATGTGTACGTTGGGTCACTACAGAATGTGTGGAGCCTACCAGTTTGCCAAGATCTACTACATTCTTTCGGACAATGGGAAGCAAAAGGTCCTGTACAAGGGGTATTAAAGAGGTAAAAGACCCCGAAATATGGCAACACCAAGCTTCACAGAAGTTGTTGCAGTGTAAAACATGCATTCTTAAGATGGTACCTCAGTCCAGTAATTGGTGAATTTAGAACTGGTGCATGAAATGTTGACTACATGAAGTTGAGAGGGATCTTCCATGGAGGGAAGAATTAGGATATTGTACAGGAAGATTTGGGTGTCCATGAGTAGTAGTAGAATGAAATTCAGCAGCACAGAGTGCTAATTGTGCATGTAGCGACCAGTAACAAGAATTTATTGTCAACAATGGTAGTAGTTCATCTGTTGGAAACACCTGAAGAGGAGAAAGACTTGGATATAGCAGCTGACCATAAAATGGATATGAGCCACCAGTGCAGTGTGGCTATGAAAAAGACCAAATGAGATTGTAGGATAGCATCAGGAGATGTATTTTCATTTAAGATAAGGAAGTTTTTGATTCCATTGTAAAAGGCACTGGGCAGACAGTTCTGAATCTAGTATGCAGTTTGAATCTGGTATGCAATCTGTGTTCAAGAAAGCGGAACTTGAACACAACAGGACAACTACAGTGCTTAGGGGAATGAAGGGCCTGTCCTATAGGTGGAGAGTAAATGCTTGGTTTGTTTAGCGTAGAAAAGTGAGAGGGGAATATGATTACTCTTTATAAATAAACACCATGGGATAGAATCACAGTGGAGGAGAAGAGCTCTTTAAGTTCAATAATGATATTAACCAGGGGTAGGAAAATGTGGCCCAGGGGCTGGATGCGGGCCTCCAGGCCATTCTATCCAGCCCGTGGGGCCCCTAAAAATTTAGAAAATTAATATTTATCTGCCCTGCGCTGCCTGTCATGTGGCCCTCTATGGCTTGCCAGAACTCAGTAAGCGGCCCTCTGCCCGAAATAATTTCCCGCCCCCGTATTAACACAGAGCAAACAGGTAAAAGCTGGCTACACATACATTAAACCAAAAATACAAAAAGGTTTTTTAATTCTCTGAGGCTTCTGGAACACGTCAGTAAAGGGTTGTGCATGTTTTTCCCATTACTAGTTTTAAGATGGAACTTGATCAGTTTATGAAAGGGATTATATGTTGTGTTGTCTCCCATTTCAGGAGGCCAGTCTTTATAATCAGGAGATTCTCAAGAATGTCCTAAGTGTAATACCTTCTTGAAGTACCTCCTTCAGCACAGTGTTTTTTTGCGAACCGAGGAGTATAGTGTGTTCCAGATAGCAGGTTATGCAGAGTTGAGAGTGGGTTCAGGGAAAGCTTGTTTCTCATTCAGCATAATCCTTTCCATGCAGTCAGCCTTCAAGCTTAGATTTAAGTCTTTTTTTCATGTTGAAGTATGAAGTGAGACCATATAATTATTGTAGATGAAATGACGTTTGTTCACCGCCCCCTGAACAGTTGGCATAAGCTGTTTAATAATGACTTTGTTTCACGCATACATACTGTAAAGATGTAGGCAGGATGACTTAAGATAGCAACATGAAAATGATTATGCACCTAAAGACTTGGCATTTCCACGCGGTGAATATCCATGATTCAATAAGCATAATTGTAACTGCTAATATACAGAGCAAGTTTTGTTAGTTACTGTAAAGTAGCAAGTAACTTGTTTTGTTTTTGTTCTTGAGAGCAAGAGCACCTTAAAGAAGTTCTGTAACCACTTGACTTTATTATTAGAAGAGACTGCCTGGTCCATCACGACCAGTCTCCTGCCTCTCACAGGCAACACTCCTTTAGCCAGCTCTGTTTTGCCAGCAAAACTCTGGAGTGTAGAACAAGCTACATTCTCCATTCATGAGGTTGGGTCTCTGATTCCCTCCATCCCAGGAGGCCTTCTCTGTCTCTGTCGCAATTTGAATAATTTTTCTTGAATATGGGTGACAAAAATTATATAGGACGTTCCAGGGAAGGTTTTACTAGGGTTTTGGCCAAAGTTTGGAAAACAGGGCCTGGTGTTTAGGAGGTATTGAAGCTCTGCATTGAACATCTCATTTGGCAGTATCTTCCTCCTTCCTCCACAGTTTTCTTCACTCCAGCAATTTGTGGCTGCTTTACCTGTGACAATACTCTTTCTATTTTTGCTTTACTTTCTTTAGGGCTTTCATTTGCTAGATTGTAGTAATCCACTCTTCATCTGATTTAAAAATAGATTTTTGAGTGAGGTCTTGTCCCAATCTAAGGATTTTTTGTGTACTGGGTTTTAACTACTGTCATATAGACAAGTCAACAGTTTTGATTTTTTTTTTCTTTTTTGCTGCTGTGATAGCTGAAGAATCACTAAAAGTTCCTAGTGAATAACAGAGACTTTCAGTGCAAAAATAGACAACCAGAGATGCATCCTATGACATCTCTAAACCAATGATGGGGGATGCCTGGGAAGGTAACGGACAGGAGATAATCATTAGATATGCTCAGTTCAGTGCTCACCCTCTAAAGTATCCATTCTTGCCACTGTCAGAGACGGAGTTCTGAGTTGAATGGACCCTTGGTTTGACCCAATATGGCACTTCTTTTGTTCTTATAACAGCTTACCTTTAACTTTAGTTCCTCCTTTCTGTTAGGAAAAATGCTTCCATCTTCTAGCTAGGTTGAAGCTTTAATAATTCAACGTTTAGGCTTCCCTTTCCCTAACAAAGGAGAACTGTTCTACCTCATTAGGTTTAAATTTCTTGCTTGAAATCTTCAGACAGCTCTTCCGTGTAAGCAGCTGCAGTCTTGCATTAGCAGATTAGAAGCTTTTTTTTGTTTCTCTATCTAGTGGGGTTTCTAATGAGAATTCTTAGATTCATCCTTTGGTCACGCATGTGGTGGCTAGTACAATTAGGGGTGGCAGGGCACAGCCAGGTAAAATGAGTTCTCTAGTGTTGCAGACAGTAGTTTTTGGCAAGGATGCAATGAGAACTTTCAATGAGAAGACCTGGGATAAGGAAGTCTGCATTTAACCTTAACCATAAAGGCTTTTGGCATGTGAAGATGTGGGAGTCGGTTCCAGTTTATTAAGTGTGTGCGCTAAACAGGGGAGCAGTGGAAATAGTTAAGTAGCTAACCCCTGCTGGGTTTTTGGTTGTAGCTGCCTTGTGTAGCTAACCCTTGGCATTTGAATTATTAACTGAATCTAACTATTGTGACTAATGGGGCAGTTCATACCTCTTTGTGGAGTTGGAAGAGAGTACTTTGCCAGTTTATATTTGCGTCACATTTAGATTGTTTGTTATTTTTCACAAGCAGAAGTGATTTGCCAGCATTTTATAAAGGTTTGTCTTTTACTTTTTTTTACAATGAATAAAGGAGGCCTGAAAGATTTCATTTTCTTCCTTTTTAAAAGTATCAGGAATTCAAGTTTGCTAGAGGAACTGTGAGAAGGCAGAAAGAATGTGAGCTCCAATATGTATTGAATTGAGGAAGCCTTTGATAAATGCTCAAAATATTAATTTGCCATTGAAGTTGAACAGATATCTCTAGAAACAAAAACATAGAAGATTTAAATAGGTTGACTAAAAAAATCTTTTCCCTTTAACAACTAAATCTTTGTTCTCTTGATATATGGGCATTTTTTCTAGCTGCTGTAGTCAGCAAGATAAGACCCGTACCTTTATCATGTAAAAACAAATGTAAAAAACAATTTTTTAAAGCGACTATCTTCCTTTCATTAACTTCCTATTGTAAAGAAGCAAAAATGGGCACAAGTCCAATTTTTCATCCTTTTAGGTCACCTCTTAGAAATTTTAGCTCCCGGGTTGCAAGTATGCAAAAACAAGTGAACTCCTAAAAATTCTTGAGCTATAGACTTGTAGAATATCTAGGGTCTGGTAATTGAAAAAAGGAACCAGAGGTGGTGGGTGTGGAGGACAGGTCTTCCTTCAAACCTAGTGTGTTGGGACTTGAAGCTTTCTTCCTCCCACCCATACCAACCTGCTTTTGATTCATTCTTTTTCCCTACCTAGATTTCCATGAGGACAACTGAAATGTGGAAGGCCTGTCTGTAGGTTCTTGGCTGTTGCGACTTGGAGCTTGAAGTGTCTCATCCCTGTGCCTGGTGTAAACGTGGCCCCTGGGAACCATGAAGGTTGTACCAGAAAAGAACGCTGTGCGGATCCTCTGGGGACGGGAACGGGGCACCCAAGCTTTGGGTGCTCAGCGGCTTCTACAGGAGCTGGTGGAGGATAAAACCCGATGGATGAAATGGGAGGGCAAGGTGAGGTCACAGGCCAGGGGGATTTATTCGTGGGTGGGCTGCTCACATCATTGTGGCTAAGTTTGAGGGTAGAGATTTAAGATCACTTGTTCAGTACTGTTATTGTTGATCACTTGTTCAATATTGATATTTTTATGCATTGCACTTCGAGTCGGGAGACCCCTGGTTGTGCTCCATCTGGCTTAGCCTGGTTCCTCAGGTACTGTGCTGGAGTTGTATGCTGCTTGGGGACCTCCATGCTGTTTGTGTGTGAATTAGAGTGAAGAAAGTACGGCCAGACAGTACTCAGTGTT